TATATATATATATGTGTGTGTGTGTGTGTGTGTGTGTGTGTATTTATTTTAATTTGCTGTTCCCACAACCATAAGCCCAGTTTATCTCCATGCAGTTTTAAAAGTCTGACAACATTTTTATGGTACAACAGAAAAAAGAAAACTACAGTTTTGACAGAAAACTGAAGGACTAAGTATTTGAGAGGTGTGAGTGTTTTTAAGATCACACTTTTTCTGACGCTGATATTGGGTCTCTGTGTCGTTTAATAACACCAGTGCAGCAGTCTGATCAACCTGCTAAAAAGTGGTATTTTCAGCTGCTTCCATCCTCAGCTGTTATGTTTCTTACAATCATTTTGCACTCAGTACGCTCAAGGCCCCACAAGGGTCGATTCTTGGACCCCTTCTGTTTTCATTGTATCTGCTCCCCTAATAGCTGCTGTTTTAAATGTGCTTTATAAATAAATTTGATTTGTCTTGACTTTGCACTTAGTATGCTCGTATGTTTGGCTCTACTTGTTCAAGCCCAATTATGTGATCTTTAATTGCATTCTCCGGTGATATTGCCTTTTGTCTCTTTTTCTAAGCTACATTCTGACAGGCTTGATGTGCTGACCTTATTGTTATTTTTACTAATATTTTAAATATACTAAAGTACCTGAATACAGCTTTGTTTATCATTGGGAGTATGTCCATGTTGGTGGCACATCTAGGACTGCTGTAATTTGATCATGTTGGTAAAAACCCTCCATATTGATGTTCTTTGCATGATGAGGAAGCGGCGCTGCCGAGCTGCAGCTCGTCCAGGTGGAGCCTGAAGGACGCAAGAATTTAAACTTAAATGAAATTTTAAATTACTAATATAATAATAAATGAATAGCAATGTTTTGTGCACAGCACTCTTCCACAAGAGGACAACATAAAAACAATTTAGCAGTACCTAAATCTCCATCTGGTGCTTTTATGGATTTAAGCTATTTTCCAGTAGCAGCTCATCTCACTGCTCCTGGAAAATAAAAGCTTGTGGGCCTTTGCTACAATAATGAAGCAAAGATTCACGGGGCTGTTTATGATTCATGAGTTTTAGTTTAATTAATATGGAGAGTTTGTTCTGCAACTTTCAGCACTGAAGTTGCTCGGAGCTTTGCTCTGATTTTCCCCTCTGTAACAAAAGTTTCCCTCTCAGGGAGTGGGTTTTGGTTAAGGTTCAGACTTTTCTCTAAGACAGGGTGCAAGCTTTGACAGTAAGATAAGTTGTCAGCAATCATGTGTTTGAGCTACTGTGAGTGTAACTCATAGTTTTCCTCTGCACCCCCTTCAGCCAGTCATCTTCTGTTGGATGTTTAGTTGAAGAGCCTGTTGTGAAGACATCAACATGCAGCTAAACCGGCTTGCTTTATGTTTATACATGCTTTTAAAGTTTGGCGTAGAATTTAATAAGGCTCCTTTAAAATTCCTTCCACTTTCACAACAGGATGGAGACTCTAAAGCTGCAGCCCCCGCTGCTCCCGGGGCTCCCTTGAACTCAGACGAGGAAGAGGAGGTTGAAGAGGTGGAGGCGGCAGAGGCTGAGCCAGCTGTGGTGGAAGCAGCACCAGCAGAACCTACAGTGGGCCCTGCAGCAGAACCTGGAGTGGCTCTGGAGCCAGCTGTGGTCGACGTCCCTGCAGATGTCGCACCAGTAGATGGCGCTGCTGTGAACGTGCCTCCTGTTGACATTGTGCCTGTTGACAGCGCCACCTCTGCCCCTGAAGTGGCTGCTGATGTAGCCAGCCCTGCTGCAGATGCTGGTGCAGTCATAACAGGAGGGGCCGACATTCCTGCCCTGTAGTTTGTTCTTACCAGACCCTCCAGTACTCCTCAGTCTGCAAGAAATTAAAGTTTAATACATCCATTGGTCATGTAATTGTGGCCAACATTAGATGAAACGAAAGCCACAGCAAAAAATAATCAAGTAAATGTGCATGTTTACAGATTATAATTGATTACCTTGTCCTCAATAGTAGGATTTTTCCCCCACATTTTTTTTACTGGAATGTCTTGACTAATTTGTTGTTTTTATAGCTTTTTGTTTTTGTAATATAAGCCAATATGCCAAGATATTGAATAACCATGTGAATGTAATCATACCTGTGAGACCCTGAAGTTTTCAATATGAAATAAAGATTATTCCTCTCCCATGAGCATGTTTTATTATAAGTTCAACTTGTTGTCATGAAGCTGCAGAAACTCCACGTGCCAACAGGGAGAGCCACTGAACCGAAGGACTGCATCTCCTCTCCTCAGAGGTTCAGCTTCATTGTCACTCATCATTCTGATGCATTTAAAAGGTGTGACATCCATCTGATCTGAGATCTGTTCTACTCTAATAGGATCAGAGCTGAAAGTGCTGACAGAGAGGGTGAGCAGTGTGTGTGTGTGTGTGTGTGTGTGTGTGGGTGTGTGTGTGTGTGTGTGTGTGTGTGTGTGTACACAAGCAGACTATATCCCATGCTATTCAACATACGGTCAAAAAAGACTTGCAGAGTACAAAGAGGAAAACTCAACACAGAAATGAGTTTTGCAGTTTTCGGTCATCTATACTGGCCTGGACATTTTTCCTCTTCTGACTCAAGTAGACAGTCAGGACAGTAAAGGAGGGAGTGGGACTTTGTCTCACCTTTTCTCTGCCAACTCTAATCCATAAATCCTCGCTGGGGTCACTGAGACTCAATGATAAGGTTAGTTAGAGCCATTCTGTACAGTTGGTTTCTTATGCATACATATTTTTTTAAATACACATTTTTAATTACATGATTGGCAGGCTTCACAAGGCATAAAGAACATGGACTTCTCCATACATTGAGGATTAAAAAGGTAAGATTTACTGAGCCAGATCAATTCTTCACATTTTACATGCTCAGCTGGGCAGCATGATCATTTATATTGTATGATTTCAGTTGATTCACTGCAGGCTGCACATGAATTTATAGATTAAAATTTAATTTTGGTTCTTTTTGTGTGAGCTGTGACTTTGTACAAACCCACAAATGAAGCCCTGGTTGTTCTGAATAATTTACGCTGCAAAGTTAGATTCATAGAGGCTACAATGTGGATGAATATCTGTGAGTTTTTTGAGTGACAGATCGGAAACAATGTAATAAACATGCAAATGTTCTTTCCTGATTTGGTTAATATTTATAGGTACAGATGAGATCGTATGATTTGACGCACTGAGCTGCATTCAATTAGAAAAATATATTGTCATAAAATGTTTTGTACTTTCTCTTTTCAAAGCAACAGGAAAACTAAACAATGCACAAAACTAATATTTATCTGGGATGTAGTTTCATCAGCAGAGATGGCTTTTTAAATAAAAACATGATGTTGTCTTACATTCAAAGCCTCATTTGTTGGAGTCACAAAATTTTTTAATGTTTTTTTTTTCACGAAGATTTTTTACGGTGATATTTTTATGTAGCCTTGCATAAAATGTATTAATAACTTTGGATAGATGTTATTTTAAAGAACTATAAAAACATTAAACAGCTTTTTAGGGTATTAAAGTGTTCAGTTACAAAGGCAAGCAAACATATTTTTAATTTTTTAGTTGTAAAGATAAGATTTTTTTTCCCCATCTTTAGTTTTTGTTAGTCTTACCTCAAAAAGCTTTAGCTTATTTTTATGTGAATGTGTATTTATCAATAACGTTGTTTTCCTCTTTTTTAATACATTTTTGCAGTCTAACTTCTGAAAACTTTGTGTTAATTTAATTATTAATAGCTCACATCAAAACATCCGGCTCCGGTAAGAAATAGGTGCCATGAACTTTGGTTATTGTTGCTTTTGTTCTTAAAACAATATTTCTGTTAGGTAATACTTTACAAATAGAAATATATTCAGATTTGTTCAAAAACTTTGTTCTAGCTGAAATCTACTCCAGCATACTTACACTAATTTAGTATCTTTGGCCACTTTAATTTTAGCTACCATTCAGCTATGTTTAGCAAGCTGTTTCCTACTTTCAGCTTTTAGCCAACTTTTTGCTGCTTTTGTTTCCTTTAGATTTTGCTACTATTAGCTAGTGTTTGTATCGTTCAGCGTGCAGGTAGTTTTCTGTTTATTTTAGCTCTAAACTCAATTTCAGCGTCTTCAACAAAGTCCAGCAGTCAGTTCAGCAGCATTCCCGCTGCGTTTTGGAAGAAAATGTCATTTGTCTAATTTGATTGAATTGAATTTCCTCCTCAGTCTGCCATTGGCCACAAGATTAAATCATGATTGATCCAGCCATTTTCATGCTTCTTTGCACTCAGTTTTTTCCAACTCTGGTCAAAATGTTTTCCTTACACCTGATCAGTCAACGTGACTTGTCTCCAAATTTAATCAGCTTAGTGTTTGGATGCAGTAAAAAGCTGCTGATTAGTTTAATATCTTTCATGCATGAAGGAGGATTTTCAGATCACCATAAATGAAGGTCAATGTGTGCAGGTGATGATGAGCAGAGGAGTAAATGCTCTTCTTCTGTGCTTTGCAGTCCAAAGGATGACTCTTTACTTTAAATCCACTGCAACCTGCAAGAAGGGCAACAATATAATGCATTACTGTTTTTTATTCATCTTTTTGTTTGGCAAGAATTATTTAAGGTTTTGAAGTGAAACAGCTGCTCTAAGGAGTTTGGCTGCTAAATGCACAAAGTTTAAGAAGTAAGAATATTCAAAGATTTGGCCATTTAAAAAAAAATCTGTTTCCGAGGTACAGTATCTGAATTTATTATTGCCTGTCGGTGAAGGCAGAGACATTGTTGCATTTTGTCTCTCTGTGTTTGCGAGTTTGTCTCAAGCTTAAACAGAATGTGTCATAAACCGAATCACAAATTTTAGTAAAACTTTCAAAAAGTCAGATTTGAACATAGACCTTAAAATGATTTACTCATGATGTCAACCTAACTAAAGATTTCTGTCACTAAAATACTCTACCTTTTTATAGATAATGAGCTAAAATTTGGTGCAGTTGTAGCTGATAGTGTAGTTTGCAACAGATACTCTAAGCACCAAAAGACCACACAAGATATTATAGTATTGCATGAGATTGTGTATAATGTTATTTTTAAGGTTTATCCAAAATGCTTACAACTTTCTCAACATAAGATCATCCTGTTTTAAAGCAATGCCAAATTAATTTTGCCAAATTAATGTAAATGTGTGATGTGTTTAAATCGTTTTTAAATAAATGACCCACTGTCGTTGGTGAGTCAAAGATAAACACGTTTCCGTCCACATTTTATTAAATTCAATGCACATTATTATTCAGTCCAGAAAAATGAAAGAATCCGTTTAATTTATGAATAAAATATCTACATTCTGGTGGATGTCATGCGTTCCATTTAGTAATGGTCGACCTCCTGCAGTTTTGTCTATTTTTTCCATTTCATTGTTGTAATTTGTGTTTTTATTTTTCAGGTTGAACCTCCTATTTGTTTCCATGATCATGTCCACCAGCCGCCCCAGTCTCGCTATGGCAGCTCCCTCAGCAGCTGAACACAGCGGAGAGGAAAGTGAGGATGATCTGTAAGACAAACTTCAAAGACCTCATTCTTATATTAATGCAGAATTTAAAACATCCAAATTTCTCTTGAGAAAAGACTTAATTATCTTTATGTGTGACATGCTGTGCTTGTTCCTGAAGGGCACCTCAATCAAACCTTCTGGCCAACATGAATAACAGCAACAACAATGAAAAGTAAGTACGATTTAAAACCAAAAGAGAAAATTTGAGACTTTTACATGTCCTTGATAAACTTTGAGTCTGTTCAGTTTGCACAATAAATTAATTATTTTCTTCCTATTCAGGGAAAAAAAGAGCAAAAAGAAAAAAGAAAAGAAAGAGAAGAAGGAGAAAAAAGTGTAATTGTTTCACAATGAAATATTTAAGCTTAAAGAGTTAAAATGAAAATATTTAGTATTCACTTTTTTGTTATTGTATGTTTCAGAAAAAAAAAGGCGAAAGAAGAACAAGAAGCAAAAGAGAAAGAAAAGGAGAAAGAAGAGGAGAAAGAAAAAGAGAAAGAAAAGGAGAAAGAAAAAGAGAAAGAAAAGGAGAAAGAGAAAGAGAAAGAAAAGTAAATAATTCACTTGCAAAACTTTTTTCAAAAAACAAATATTAGAGTTCAAATAATCTAAATTCCCTTTTCTTCTGTCTTTTCTCAGGCCTAAAGAAATATTTGTTATTAATCCTGCTGGGAATTTGTACTACAACTGGCTTTTCATCATCACTTTACCTGTCATGTATAACTGGACTATGATCATAGCCAGGTGATGTTGCTAAACGTTGCTTATAGAACTCTTAACAGCTTTGTGGAGTTGCACCGAGCTGCAGAGAAATAAATAAAATCACTGATTCAGTTTGAATTCAAAGCAAGATTAATGTATGTGTTAAGGGTTTGGAGCTGTGGATCTCAAAGTTTTCATGATGCACCTCCTTTTAGAGGAATGTAAAAATAGATATTTTTTTCTTTTTGTACACATATCCATGCTGGCGGTGTTGTGAGTAAACAGGACTGTAATAAATAGTGTCATCTGGTACAAATGCTGGATGTCCTGCTCAGACCAAACAGTGAAAGCAATGTTTTCCCGTTTCATTCGTAATAGATGGGTCAATCATTAGACCCTCCTTCAGACAGCATTCATAACCCCATGAAAGAGAAAAGAAAATTCCTTTCTGCTAGTTATCGCTTCAATTCAGGCCGAACGCAGGCTGACCAGTAAGAAATGGAGCAAATCAGCACACTAATAAGCATTTTCACCTGACTTCTCTGGTTTGTTACAAAAACAAGTCAGAAATGCATGAACGTTTAAACATTAGTTCCACTTGCAATTCTTTAGGCACCAAAGTTACAATGAAATAAAACAGCCCCTTCCCTGTAAGGACACAGAGCCCCACCTTGGGGCACCATGAATTTAGTAACTATCGCTATCACATACAGTGGTGAAAGAAAATATAGGGTTTACAAAAGTTTTTTTCTGCAAACAGGGCATGCTTTGAGGAGCTGCAGCATGACTACATAATCTACTGGATTATTTTAGACTACAGCTCCGATCTCTTCTACCTGGCTGATATGTTCTTCAGGACCAGAACAGGTGAAAACTGACCGGATCTTTCTTGTTCAAAACTTATCATACCGAGTGTATTCAGTTTTTCATGAAAACATATTTTTAATGTCATATTTAGTGGGGGGGGGGGGGGGGGGGGGCAGAATGGTGGTGCAACTGGTAGAGCCGCTGCCTCTCAGTGAGCAGGTCCCCAGTTCAAATCCCGGTCCGGGGGCCTTTCTGGGTGGAGTTTGCATGTTCTCTTTGTAGTATGACATATACTGAGATATATTCATACATTAAACGGGTTCTTCATTTTTCTGGACTGTGTAACATGCGTGCATTGAATTTAACAGAAATGTAACGAGAGACGTTATTTATCTTTGACCCATCAAAATGAATGCGGTCATTTATTTACAGAATCAAAGTTTAACATCAAACATTTACATTAATTTGGCAAAATATGAAAATAACAACATAATCAATCAATCAGGAAAACCATACGGCCATGGTTTTCCGTTGCTTCACAGGAAGTGAGAACAATACGGCGATTGTTTTCACTTTTCAGCAGAACAGCAGACATCAATTCACACGGCGGTGATTGATTTTCTAGCAGAAAGGAGAGTTTAAAGATGGAAAATTGAGATTTATCTTACAGAGAGATGTGTGAGGGAATTTATCTGTTTTAACCAGAACAGCACGCTCTTTGGAAATCAGCTTGTCCCAAACAGTACACTTTTGGGTGAAGGTCGACTTTTACCTTTCTGAAGATAGATCAGGTCGGCGTGAAGTCCTACTTCCAGCCACTTTCAGCGTCTCCGTTGAGAACAGCTAAAATACCTCGAGAGTCGTGCGAGGTTATCCAAACAGAAGTTATAATTCCCCAAATCGTCTCTGGTTCAGCTTGTTTGGCTTAGCAGCAACCATGAATGCCTGCGTTTTGCATCCAGGTTGTCCCAAAATCTCTGCATTCTGGATTCCAAGAACTCTGAACTCCTTCAGAACTCTGAACTCTTCTGGAACTCTCAAAACTCTCAAAACTCTACCGTTGAACTGGGAAGTTGCCACATTTAAACGGGCTATACTTCCGGTTCATTTGAGAGCTTTCTGATTCGTGGATGGACCAGAACAGAGGTGTGGTTTGTGATGTAAGGTGTTATGGAAAGTCAAGGATTGTTTAAGAACAGACAGAAAGATATCATGGAAAAACCAGACTTCGTGGTGCCACCTCTCCTGTATCTTGCTGTAAAAGTTAAACATGACATTTCTTTTCAGTAAACTTTTTAGTTGACCGAAGCTCGAACTTTAACACACTTACAAATTTGCTCATTGAAGACAGAAAAATCAAGAAATGCATATTACCCTGATTTCTTCTTTGAATGAGGAATAAAAATCATTACTACTGTTTAAGTAAATAAAAATGAGTAGTTCACTTCAACCTGTAAACATTGTTTGAACTAACACAATTTGATTATCAAAACATTTGTAAAATAGTAATGATCATAGAGAATTGTCTTTTCTACTTGATTAATTCAAGAAAGAAAGTCTCAGGATGGGTCAAACTGTATTTCTGGATGCAGATCAATGAAATGACAGTTTCTGACCATATGATCCTAAGGTCATTGATTTGACATCAGGTCAAGTTCACTACATCTTCGTGCATGTGTGGGTTTTCTCCGGGTGCTCCGGTTTCCTCCCACAAAACAAAAACATGTATGTTAGGCTGATTGGTGACTCTAAATTGTCTCTAGGTGTGAGTGAGAGAGTGAATGGTTGTTTGTCTTGTTTGTCTCTATGTGACCCTGTGATGGACTCGCGACCCATCCAGGGTGTACCCCGCCCCTACACAGTGATTGCTGGAAATGGGCACCGGCGACCCTGTGACACAAAATGGAAGAAGCAGGTAAAAGGTAATGGATGGATGGATATTTAGTGGGTAACAAATAAAATGTTTCATAATTTCATGTTTTACAACTAGAAAACAGTAAATCACAATGAAAACAGCAAGAATGACTGAACTGACTTAAATCGTGATCACAAAGATGAACATTTTGAGTTGATCAGTGTTCCGACTCTAACAGTTGCTCTGATTTGTACTAAGGGTTTGGGCTGTTGTAAAAAATTTTTTTAAATAAAATCTATTATTTTAAATACTTTAATAAACTTTCTGCATGTTTTATTGTAGGCTATCTGGAACAAGGGCTGTTGGTGAAAGATGAGAAGTTGCTGCAGGATAACTACGTCAACAGCCGTCAGTTTCGCCTGGACATTCTTTCCATGCTGCCAACAGATATCTTTTATTTCATCCTTGGCCTCGACTACCCAGAAATTCGCATCAATAAGCTGTTAAGGATTGGCCGAATGATGGAGTTCTTCACAAGGACAGAGACAAAAACTAACTACCCAAACATCTTCCGCATCGCAAACCTAATCATGTACATCCTCATCATCATCCACTGGAATGCCTGCCTGTACTTCTCGTTCTCCAAATCTATTGGTTTCGGTGCAGATGAATGGGTCTACCCAGCTCTGGACAATCCTGAGGAGCCTGAATTTGGGAAACCCATGAGGAAGTACGCTTTCAGTCTTTACTGGTCCACACTGACACTGACCACCATTGGAGAAACCCCACCACCAGCTCTAGACTCAGAATTTCTCTTCCATGTAGTGGACTTCTTAGTTGGAGTCCTGATCTTCGCAACCATTGTGGGAAACATTGCCACCATGATATCCAATATGAATGCTGCCCAAGCCCAGTTCCAGGCCCGCATTGACAACATCAAGCAGTACATGCAGGTCAGTAGCCATTCAATGTTTAAACATTGAGTGGCACAATAGTTTAGTGTTCAGTTAACATTCTGATTTATCTTCATTTGCAGGTTCGAAAAGTCAGCAAGGAACTTGAGTTGCGAGTCATCAAGTGGTTTGACTATCTGTGGAATAACGGTAAAGCTCAGGATGAGAGAGAGGTACTGAGGTATCTCCCAGACAAGCTGAAAGCAGAAATAGCCATCCAGGTCCACATGGACACCCTGAAGAAAGTCCGTATCTTTGCAGACTGTGAGGCAGGCCTTTTGATCCAGCTCGTGCTCAAACTCCGGCCACAGGTGTTCAGCCCCGGAGATTACATCTGCAAGAAGGGCGACATCGGCCGGGAGATGTACATTATAAAAGATGGCAAACTTGCTGTTGTTGCTGATGATGGTGTCACACAGTTTGTTGTGTTGGGAAGTGGGAGCTACTTTGGTGAAATCAGCATCCTTAATATTAAAGGCAGCAAATCGGGCAACAGGCGGACAGCAAACATTCGCAGCATTGGATATTCTGACCTCTTCTGTCTGTCAAAAGATGACTTAATGGAATCGTTGACTGAGTATCCAGATGCCAAAGCCATGCTGGAGGAGAAGGGGCGTCAAATCCTCATGAAGGATGGTTTAATAGATTTGGATCCTGCCCACATCAAGCCTGAAGCTAAAGAGCTGGAGGAGAAGGTCAGTAAATTATACAGCACAATGGAGCTGATGCAGATTAAACTTAAGAAGGTTTTGGGAAATTACAAGAGCTCTGGCACAGCTCTGAAACAGCGAATCACTGAATTGGAGCGCATGAGTGGAGAGGAGGTAGAAGATGAAGATGAAGAGGTGGAAAAGGAAGTAAAAACAACAAGCAAAAGCTGATGAGGAGGAAAAAAGAAGATGAAAATGCTGAAGGAGAGGAAGAAGAAAAGAAAAAAGTACAAAAAGGTGAGGCGAGTGAGAAAGATGAGAAAAGAGATGGAAAGCAAGATGGAGCAACGTCTGATAAAGTGAAAGATGAAGACGGAAAAGTGGAAAAGAAAAAAAACAATCCTGTGTTTTTTATTAAACAGCACACTCTTATCCCCTATGCACCTATAATAAATAATTTTATTGGTCAGACTGAAATCTATTAAATATTAAAATAAAAACTCAATACAAAGTCTCTATAAAGAATATAAAAGAAATTGGAATGGGGCAGGAACATCCTCTCTAACCTCATAAAAACAGAACTATTGTTATTGTAACAAAAGTTAGTTCAGCTGAAAATATTATTGTTAATTTAATAACATTCTATATTATATATATAACAATATTAATAAATTAACATTGTTGTTATTAATATTGTTGGTCATTTATTGTTATTTGTGTGATTGTGTTGTGTATACACTGAGAATAATGCTCGTAAACATGTTCAAATAAATGCCTTCACAATCTAACTGTGTTGTTGGATGAATAAATCCTGCTGTATCAATGAGCTACAGACACCTCATGTATTTCAATGACCACAGTACATTTACCATAATAGATTTAGTCCATAATGTAACAGTTGTACAATATTTAACACTGAAATAAATGTACTTTGGCTCATTAGTCATACAGACATTTCCTTGCTTCAAAAAGGAGAAAATATTTCTGTCCAATTACTTTTACAGTCTGTCTTACACTTTTACTCTTTCTGTTCTGATGATTATTTTTTCTTCACATAAATCAGGAGTGAACAAATGACTACTACATGAAAAAAAAATCTGATATTGATTGAGGGCGGTATGGCGGAGCAGTGGCCAGAACTGTCAGATATCAGCAGAAGATTAGTGTATGGAATGGAATGTTGGATGAAGGATGGTGGAAGATGGATGGATGAATGATAGATGAATGGATGGATGGATGTTGGATGGATGGATGATGGTGGGATTGATGATTGATGAAGGATGGATAATAGAGAGACGGATGGATGATGAAAAATGGATGGATGGATGGATGGATAGATGGATGGATGGAGGGAGGGAGGGATGACAGAGGGATGGATGATGGATGGATGAGGGATTGACGAATGGATGATGGATGGAGAGATGAATGATGGATGGATGATGGATGGAAAGATGGATGATAGATGGATGATGGATGGAGAGATACATGATGGATGGATGATGGACGGATGATGTTGAGTGACACAAAGAGACAGATGCAGGTTTTGTGTGTGTGTGACTCTCTGGACGGCAGGTGGGTGTGGTCATGTCTGGATAAATCTTGTTGCCATACATCAATGAGCATAATTAATTTGATTGGTCTTAGAGATGATAAAATAATTAATTTTACATCATTAATCTACTTTGTACACTCATGAGCACATTTTATAATTAAATGTAATACAATTTCTCTTTTATCTTTTTTATCATTTGACTTCAAAGCTGGACATCTGACAAAACCAATAATAATGTCACACACACACACACATTCTAAATCAAAGTGTGAAAGCAGCCAAGAAAGTCACCATTGACCCATCTTTGTGTTGTCTCAGAATTGGTGATTACACAGAACCGGAACAAGGTTCTGTTCATAAACTGTGGCACATTAATCATTGATAAATCCTGTAAAAAATAATTGTAATCTTTTTGTTATAGCTGATACAAAACACTGAATAAGATGAAGGGAGTTAGCAGTGTGCTGCTGCTCCTCAAGGTGGCACATCTCATAAATGGAACAATATGTTTGTGTTAAATATTTAGGAGAGGCTCTAGCAGGATCATCGTTATGTTCTGGAGATGATGATAAAGTAGCAGTATAAGACCACTGTACCATAAAACATCCTTCACTGGAAGAAAAGCAGAAAAGTGTCCAATTGTGTTTTATTTATTTTTTTTGTTGTTGTTTCTTACTGCTGATTTACGAGTGTTGAACCAAATAATCAATGTGAATAAACTTGAAAATAAGTTTATTCTGTTCCAATATGTTTTTGTTTTGTTGTCGTTGTTGACAATCAATAGTATATGTCATAATGCTAAAAGACTGTGATGGTAGTGCTTAAATACTTAACAATCAGAAATATAGCATTTTGTAAAATAAACAAAAACAGTTCACATAATGAACACAAACTTAATAAACTCTGTGTCATATTGTAACAGATTTTTACAGCATTAAACATCTGAATCATTTCAGAATCCTCTCGAACTTTTAATTGAATCAAACTCAATGATTTTACTGCACAAAATAATCATTAAATACAAAAAGGTAGAAATTATTTGGCAGCAGATTATTCTACTGCCTCATGACACCATCAGAACTGTTGGCCTTCAGCACAGTCACCCTTCAGCTGTTTAAAGTGAAGCTTTCTCTTCTCAGACTTTAGAAAAACTCTAACTGGATTCTGTGGCTCTAGTGGTCTCTGTAACCACTTTCTTGCAGCCTTTGGGTGGCAGGGCAGAGCCATACCACCACAGCTGGTCCTGATCCTGACTGATGAGCTACTGATGGACTCAAGGACCTTTTGGATCAGTTCCTCTCTGCTGGAACATTATGCTACCAGTAACTAATTACAGGCTTACAGTCACAGTATCCATGATATAAGTACATGATATCTGGACTTGCTGTCAGAAAGAAAACATACAGTTTACTGACAATGAAACAACATGTTGCATTAAAATGTGCACAGGAGTCCCTCAGGGATGCACACTCAGTCCTTTGCTTTTTATTCTGCTGAAGTATAGATGTGCTGCTTAATTAATTGAAAACAGCAGATTTACCGATGACAGAAGAGTGGGAGTCAACCACAACAAAAACTAACATCTTTTAGAGCAGAGCTAGAAGAGTCTGTGTGCTGACATGAAAACAACAGCACTAAAAAACTGATTTTTGGACTTTAGACAAATCCCTGAACCTTCAGCAGCTCCCCTGCAGGGAAGGTTAACAATGTAAAATTCACAAGTCAACCTCACTGAGAATTTCTCAAGAAGACATTACACTCCTCCCCTGATGAATGAAAATTACACCAACTGCAGTGTAATTAATAGAAAGTATCTGCAAAATGTGTTGCAGATGTCTGAGTGTGTTATTGGGAGATTTCACTCTCCTGATTGGAGATGATTTTCAAAGACAGAGACAATATTAAATTAGGGTTGTCAGGGATCTCTTTCAGTCTGCCCAATGATCTGTTTAACATTCTGCCATCTGGAAAAATGATCACTCCACTGAATCGTGAAAAACTTGACTACACAACAGCTTCTTTCATCAGGCCACAAGGCTGCTGTGAAGCTCACGTGAACAAGAGAAACAAAACCCACTTCAACACCTTGAACTCAGCACTTTACAGCATTTTAAATGAAAAGGAATTAATAATATTTAAAATAAAATATATTTTACTTATTGAAAATCTTTATTACACTAAGTATTTGTCATTGTACTTTTCTTTTAACATCGATATGTGAAGTTTTGTTTTATAGTGTTGCCTATGTGCAATGCTTTAGAAGATGAAAAGTTTAATTTAATTCTAGTTTGATTGCATACCATTGAAGCTTTAAATGCATGAACGGTATACCCATTTTGTGAATTTTGGACTATTTTTTTAGCTAATGAAAATAAAGTGTCCCCTCTGTTTTAACTACACTGATCAATGTCCTGATGCATGCTCAATAATCCTGTTAAATGAATCTAACGAGGTTGAGTCAGGTCCTCTGGATGGTTTCTTCTTTGTTGAGATATTTCATATTTTATCCAAAAGACTTCTTCAGTCTGAGGAGCTGCAACAAACTCAAAAAGGAGCACCATCAGTCTAACAATTGATCGTTAGTGCTCTGATGGCTGCTTGCTATTCAGAGGGCTGAGTGACACCAGCAATAACAACACTGTAAGAGGGAGAAAGTTGAACACGGAGGCATTCGCCCGTTTAATGATGGATGTGCTCTCTTCACAAAGATGGCTTCCTTTACTCCTCTCTCAAACCAGCATTCTTCTCTATTAAGGAAGTGAACATCTTGATCCCTGAAAGAGTGACCACTGGCCAGCAGATGAGTGTAGACCACTTAGTCCTAGTCTGATGATGCTGCTCTTCATAAGAGCAACATCATCAGACCAGGACTCTGTGGTGAACTGATTGATCCATTATGAGAAGGTGCTGTTTATAAGATGGAGTTTGTTGCAGCACCTCAGACTGAAGAAGACTTTTGGATAAAAGATGAAACCTTTGAACAAAGAAAAATATGTCCAGAGGACCTGACTCAACTTTGTTAGAATGATCAATGTTCTTTTCAAGAGTGAACATTCTGGTTGTAAATATACACCTGCATCATTCATTGACATTTGCCTACTTTTAGTTCTTTTATTTTAATTGATGAGAGGTCAGGTGGCATGGTGGCTCAGTTGGTAGAGCTGTTGCCTCTCAGCGAGAAAGTCGCTGGATCAAATCCTGGCTACGGGCCTCTCTGGGTGGAGTTTGCATGTTCTCTCCGTGCATGCGTGGGTTTTATCCAGGTACTTCGGTTTCCTCCCACAGACCAAAAACATGAATGTTAGGCTGATTGGTAACTCTAAATTGTCCCTAGGTGTGAGTTAGATTGTTTGGTTTTCTTGTTTGTCTCTATGTGTCCCTGTGATGGACTTACGACCTGTCCAGGGTGCTCCCCCATCTCACACAATAACTGCTGGATATGGACACAGTGACCTCTGTGACCTGAAAATTAAAAAGTGGGTAAAGATAATATATGTGGGTACACGGATGTACAGATGGATAGATGGATGATGTGAGATGAACCATGAACCAGTAGTTTAAAATCTTGACTGTCATGTTTCACACTTTGGGGCTGGTGTGTCCAAGGTGTTGCTTTATGAAGAGTCCTAAATCAATAACACATCAAAAATAAAAAGGTAAAAACTAATATCATTCTTAAACTCGAGCTGATGTGCATCGTGCATCTGATGGTAATCTTTTATCTTCTGATAGCACACTGCAGCACATCTCACTAAAATCCTGGAGTAAAACAGAAGCAACATCAGTGTTGTTGGATGTCTGTGTCCACCTCTGGATCGAGGGTCAATTCACCTCACAAGACCCATGGACAGTGGTGGGATGTAACTAAGTACCTGTACTTTGTTACTGTACTTAAGTACATTTTTCATGTATCTG